TTCTTCCCTCAGTGCCTAATCATTCTCAAAGATAATCACTGAAGTCAGTTTCTTTTAAAAGTGAACTTTGTTCCTCTTCCATCTTCTCAGCCTTAAGAGGTCCCTTCACCCCCAGACCAATCTCCAGATACCATTTATATTCAAAAGCAGTCAATTCATTCTCTATTACCAGGGGCCAACGATAAACTCTTGGAATCTCTTCTTCCTGGTACCATTTCATCACTCATAGCAACCCTATAGGACAGAGTACAACTGCCCCATAGGCTGTAATCTTTATGGAAGCAAACTGCTACATCTTTATTCAACAAAACAGCTTAGTGGGTTTGAAATGCCAACTTTTGGTTAGCGGCCGAGTGCTTAACCACTGGGGCACCAGGGCTCCTCAATGCTTGTTAGTAATGGATAAACGGATAAAAGAGACTGACAAATCAGTCAATGGTTCCGTACAGGAAGTGAATGCCTAAATTCTACATTACCTGTGGACTTCAATTGTCCATGCTCTGTCCCTTTTCCTCCCCCTCTCGAGAAAGTATTTTCCAACTCAGTGAAGTGATAAGACTTACCTCCCATTCAATGCAGTAGATGCATTTATCTAGATAAACGAATACAGACACTGGCTGGCTACGTCACTAAGTCCTTTGCTAGGAGTCTCCAAGGCAGAAAGCACAGACTCCTAGGTTCTGTGACTGCTCACTCCAGCCTCCAGTGCTTAGGCAAGTGTTCACTTAACTATGCCACCTGATAATACTGCCCTGGAAAGTTACCAACAAAAGTGCTCTCGAAAACATCTTTTAAGTATATCACAAATCAATGGTATTCAATACAATTTAGATTTTCCCCGATCTTGGGCTGGCAAGTTTAGATCTCTGAATGAATGTCAGGTCCAAAGCCAGGGAGGACTGACAAAGTAGTAACATCAAGGTTCCTGACTGCTTTCCTTTGTCGTCACACACCCTCACCCCCATCCCACAATTCAAGCAGCATCAGTTGGCTACACATAGCTCATGTGGGAGAACAGAACCAACATCTGCCAACCCTAGCCAATTTGACATAATTCTCATAACAACTCTGAGTGAGGTACTAACATTATCCCCATTTTTACAGTAGAGGAAATTGGTGCTCAGTAAGGTTAAGAGGCGGATAAGTAACTTAAAGACAGATTTGCTTGGTCTCTTCCTAGGTTCTTTCCACTAGACCACACTGCCTCACTGTTAACAGTAAATGTATCCTACAACACAGATATTTATTTAGAAGCATTAGTTAATATTATAGACATTTGAGTATCCATTCATTTCGCCAAACTACTCTACAAGCTCCTTGGAATAAGCACACAGAAGTAGAAAAACCATGGGACTCTGACACCAAAATAACAGACCTGAGTTCAAATCCCTGCTCTATCACTTACTAGCTCCATGACCTTAAGCTACAGCCTCAGTTTACTCCTCTGTAAGATGGCAATGGTACCACACCATAAGAACTGCTGTGAGGATTAAATGCGATGGCTAATTCAGAGCGTGGCACATAGAAATATTAGTTCCCACGCTACTAGCCATATATCCTTGAACAAGTCACTTAATCTGATAAGCTTGTTTTCTCATAGATTAAAATAAAAGGGGGGCGGAATCCTCCAAAGAACACACAGGGTGGCCGTGAAGATGAAATGAGATGTTGTCAATCTCCCCGTAAACTCTAAAACCCTATAAAAATGTAAGGTATAGTTCCCAGCAAAGCTTACCACAATGCCTTATACAAAATAGATTTTTCAGTAAAAGTTTGATAAATGCTACATGAAAGACCTTGTTAATGTTGACATGGCCCAAATCATCTGAGAGCATACTAACCCAGAGAACAGGATGCTGAGTTAATTCAAGAAACTCATTAAGAAAACACCCTCCTTCACCCGACCATAAGGCTATCAGGGCTCTGGTCCTCAAGCAATATTTAAGCCTTCTGTGACACAGTAAACCAAGAATAAGCAACAATGGTGAATGACCTGATTATTATTTATGACTGGCTTTAATATGCTTTTAGACTTTTACTTGAATGCTTCTATGTTATAGTAAGGAAATTCAGAACACTTTAAACAGGATACAGTATTACTCTAGAAAAGATAAAATGATATTCAAAACTTCCCCCTTCTCCAGCTCCACTGTCCCCTTCCAAGCTTCCTCTATTATCCCACTGCTAGGGATAGATATGACTTGTTAGCCTGTAGCAAGCTGCCAACTGACAGCAAAACAGGCTCATCTCCAAGAACCTGTTGGTCCATACCTTCTCTAGTTGGGCTGGAATACGTATTTCCTTTAAAACGCCCTCCCTTCCATTTCCTGCAGGGTCAGAATAAACAAATACCCAGTTTATATCAACAGCTTTAATTAAGCAGAGCACTTACTAGGTCAACAAGAGGAGCCAACATGTGATGGTTATCTCTCACTGGAAGCACAGCTAGTGCTCCCCTAAACTGCAAGCATCTGAAGCACTGGCTTCAACAGCTCTCTTCCAGGGAGTTCAGCATTTTTTAGTTCTTTTCCACACACTTAAACCATCCTCCATCTTAAGAAATCCCCAAGTCTAAGCTTTTAAATGAGATGAACTTTTCCTGTATGATTAGCTGTTTTCAGTGACAGCCCCGTAGGCTCTCTCTAACTGAATCAGAGGACTTGAAAAGCATCCTAAAAGGTTAGTGTCAAGGCAAAACCAATATGGCTTACTCATAAACAAATCTACAAGCAGAAAAAACAATGAATAAATGAAATCCAAAGATAACCCTCCAACCTAATTTTAGTTTTTAGTTTCTGCCTCCTCTTCCAGCAAACCTTTTTCGAGAACTGGCAAGCAGGCCACAAAGTAAGAAAAGTTAAGATTTCTGGTATTTCCCAATCTATTACTTTCCTGCTACTTTCTTGAAAGAGTGGGTAAACTAGTTAATAATGCTAGTAAACAACTAGAAAACATAACCAACAGAAAGCAAAACCCTAAAGGCAAAGATTAACCACAAACGAAATAATCAAGAGCTATTTATCTTCGAGGTCAAACGAAGGGAATTGCTTAACAGCTCCTACTTAGCAGTCTCATCCCTCTACCACTCCAACCACTCTCTGATAAATGGTGGCATCTGTTGTTCACAAGAGCAGAAACACATTATCTTTTAAGTCTGAGAAAAGCATCCCTCTTTCAGATAATCTTTCTCTACTATTCACTAAAAATCCAGTTATTTAGTGGCAGGCTTCTCATACTCTATAAACATCAAAGGATAACTTCGAGCCTATTTTATTCTTAACATACTAGGACTCAAACTATTTTACTCAGGTCTTTTAAAATCTCTTGAACTAACACAAGACCACCCAGAGAGCGCCTATACTCCAGTAGGAAGTACCTAACTAAGCCAGGGTTTTGGAAACTTAGGCTTCTAACAACAGGACGTCCTGTAAGCGACAACAGTGTTTAATATGAAACCCAAGACCCTCCTGAATCTGTCTTCAGCTATCGCTGAAGAACACGTGGCATTTCCCTGGAATCTGGCAAGAAGGGGGTTCCAGATCTGAAGTGGAACTACACTCTACACTCTGCTAGCCTATTACCCTCTAGTGTTTCAGCTGCCTGAGTGTTTCCTTGCTTTGCTGAATTGTAGTGAACACACCATATTCCCAAGAGAGGCAAGAGAATATTCATTACTACAAGACTCCTCCAGAGGAAAAAACTTCCACACTAATGCAAGAGACTTAAGAATCAGCAGCCACCATTAAAATCAAAGGCACAACTTCTTCATTCAACAAATATTTATTTAGCACAAGGCCCTGTAAATTCAGTGGTGAACAAAACAGGTATGGGTCCCATCACTGTAAGACAAAGTATGGCAAGGATAGACATCAGACAAATAAACAAATACTGTACAAGTATAATTACAAAAGGAGCCCTGGTGGTGCAGTGGTTAAGAGCTACGGCTGCTAACCAAAAGGTTGGCAGTTCGAATCCACCAGCCACTCCTTGGAAACCCTATGGGGTAGTTCTACTCTGTCCTATAGGGTCGCTATGAATCAGAATCAACTTGACAGCAACAAGTTTTTCGAGTTTATAATTAGGAAAAAGGCCAGGATAGGGTGATGTGAGGTTCCACTTTGCCCAGGACACAAGGGTCTATACATGATGCCTCAGCATACAACAAAAGCACACCCCTTTACTCTCAAAACTGTTGCTGTTTGGACAACAGACACAGTCACCTTAGCTATGAAGAACAAGGTACTATGAGAGAAATGGGGGGGGGGGATAACTTTGGCCTGAGTGATCAGGGAAGACTTCTTGGAAGAGGTGCCATTTAAGATGAGTCCTGATGGATAAGGCACCAGTCAATTCTGGAAGAAACAGTGTTCCAAATACAGGTGACAGCATAGGCTACAACAAGGCTTGGGACGTTATTATTATTGATCAACATGAACTTTGGCTAATGGAGCTGAAAAACCAAAAAAGTGATCTGGGGTTCCCAGAGATCGATTTGTGCATTCAAGATTAAAACACCCTAAAGATCTAAATTTGTTAGACCTCAAAATTCAAACATAATGATATAAACGAAACTCTAAGGACGTGGTTTTCAAACTTTTGTAGGTCACAAATCCCTCTGAGATCTGAAAAGGACTCCAGGTCCTCATCTAGGAAATGTGTGCACACATACACACGTACTCAGAATTTCAGGAGGTTCACAGGAAACAGCCCCACCCCATCCCACCCTGCGATCACCAGGTTAAAAAAAAAAAAAAAAGCCCCCTTTCACACATGGCAAGCTCTCAATTCTATTTGAGCATTAAGATGTTTCTTAAGACATGCTAAAGATATCCAAGAATAAAGACAAAAACTAAGGTGACATACTTTTTTAAAAAGGTATTGGAACAAGCAACTGTAAGTCAATGAAAAACAGCCAATGGACAAGGTACATATCATCAACAGTCTATGACACTCATCTTCCCTGCCATTTTGGTTAGGCAGACCTGCTCTCAAGTCCTTACCTTACTAACATTGAGTGAAGCTAGAGGAGGAGGGGTTTCTGTTCGGTCATTAATTATTTCCACTTCTGAAACATACTGTAAGTTTATGAGCAAGATGTCTGCATGGTTGGGCTTTCCACTTGAAGAAGGACATTCTGGTGAGAAAATAAAGTTAAGGAAAACAGGGCAAGCAGAGGCACTGACACATCCCAAAAGGGGCATGGAAAACACAATTCACACAAAGTTCTTGTAAAAGACATGCCGCGGGTGGGGGGGAGGAGGCGTGTCACAAGAATCACCATTCTCCTCAGAAATCTCTGCCTCCCACCTGCCTCCGGCCCAAGCCCATGACCAAAGGATTCTGCGCTTTTCAAACCCACAAACAAAAACGGGAAGCCTCAAAACACTTTCTTTCACCTTCTCTGTTTCATGAAGAGAGCACAATCCAGTTTTAACGTCTTATGTATACTGTCTGTCTGGAACCTATGAACCACATGTCAGCAGAGCTGATATTTTCTGTTCTTGGTATAATACTCTCTGTATAATGCTCTTTTCATTTTTTCAGATTTGAGATTTCCCATTTTACAGAGAAGAAAACTACGGCACTGGAAAGGAAACTCACCTATCTAGTTACTCCATTCATTCATTCACTCACTCTCCAACCATGTACCAAGTGCCTACAGTATGCCAATGAAAAGGAAATAGATTTATTCCTCATTCCAAAGACCCTTCCATCTAAGTCACTAGCATAGAGAGTCCCATTAGGTCCAAGTATAACTTTTAAGGAAAAAAAAACACAACTTTCCTTGCTGTATTTAGCTGCTTCAGAGGACATCCTCCTATCCTAAACTAGAAATTTACAACTAGTAGTTAAATGAATTGAAATACTTGCCAAAGGCAGCAGACTCAATAGGCAACTTCATTTTGAAAGATGCCATAAAGGATTAAAGGATTATTCCCCCCCACAAACATACCCAAATAAATCCACCTGTAGATCAAATAAAAGAAGGAAAGGTGGTACGTTTATTCCATCCAGGAAGTTTTCAGTTTGCAAGACTGAGTTTCGTGGAGTAACTGAGAAATCATTTCCACCCCAAAGATGCAGGCCACCTTTTCCCACTAGTTTAGCACTGTCACTTTCGAAAGGGGAGAGTACTACGATGGAAAAGTCAGGACTCTGTGTGTTGGGCTGAGCAAGAGAAGATGAGAACTTACTCTTTCACCTGTAACCCACATATCCTGACATAAGGCCCTGAAAAAACGTGGCAAGCCCTCTCTGGACCAGGTTTCCCATGCTCACATCCCAAAACAACAATTTCCAAATGACAGAGAAGCCTCATAGTCAGCAGCCCCCACCTCAATGGCACCACACATAAACACACACCAGGAAAAGCCACTATCCCCAGTTCAGATACAAACTCTGACCTGCACTTACTCTTCCCCAAAATGAGCAAGGCCCGTTTGGTCACCACCCCTCCGCCCCTTCCTCGGACCAAAACCCATTAGTAGACAACCCCCCTCCTAAACTCATGCTCATACCCTTGTCCTACTAGCAGTTCCTTAACCTACACACCCCCTCCCAACATGATCTCACCCGCCTCCCTTCCCATCCGGGCTCCAATTCACCAGCCCTCTCCCACTACCACCACCCCCTGCCCGATCACGGTGTGTCCCCTCACAGCGTTCCCCCCGAAAAGCCATCCGCGTGTCTAGCCCTTCTCCACCCACCGACCCTCCCTCGGGGCCCAGTTCCCGCAAGGGTTGGGAGACAGGTTGCTCAAAGCGGACCGTGGGGGCCCGCGGGAGGGGGAGGGGAGTTCAGGGCCGTGCGCATGCGCCCGGGGCGCCGCGGTAGCCGGTCTCCCCTCTAGGCCCGGAGAGGGCCCCAGCCGCCGCCGTCGTCCCCCCACATACACGCCGGCCCGGCCTCTGGCCTCACGCAGGGAAGGATACTTAAAGCCAGCATTTTGGACTGGTAGTCAAAGGCTACCACCTCGCCCTGCAGCCGCTGCTCCTGGCACGTCCGGCACGACACCTGGCTCCCAACGCTGAAGTACTCGCCCGGAGGAGCCGCCATCTTGGGAGAGCAGCCGCGGCCGGCGGCGGCGGCGGCGGCAGCAGCGGGCGAAAGCCGGGCCCCCAGTGAGCGCCGCGACGCGACGCGACGCACGGGGCGTGCTGATGTCACACGCCTGGGCGTGGCCTGGAGCTGGGTGGGGCGGGAGCCTAGGTGGAAGAGGAAAAACGAGGAAATAAAAGGGAATCTGAAGAATAATGTTTCTGTAGCGGTGACCGCTTTGGCAACTGCTTGTAAAGTCCGTTAAAGATAAATGACCCACGTAGAATGAACAGCGGGAACAGGAATGACCTGCAGTCTCCATTATGTGCACACCTTGCACACAACGAGAGTTTAATGTATGAACTCTATAAAGTAATACATATTATCCGTATTTTACATGTGAGGAATCCGAGGCTCCGAGGACTTAACGAAACTCGGTCAAGAGACTTATACCTATTTACAAAATGGTTGTGGAAAGAACATTGGCTATAGAGTTAGATAAATGAGAATCGGAATCCCAGGTCGGTCACATACTTCTTATGTGACCTTGAGCAAATTACTAAACTTCTATCGGCCTGTTTCTTCATTTGCATCTATGTTATAGCTTATCGGGAAACCCTAGTGGCATAGTGGTTAAGAGCTACGGCTGCTAACCAAAAAAATCAGTAGTTCGAATCCACCAGGCGCTCCCTGGAAACTCTATGGGGGCAGTTCTACTCTGTCCTATAGGGTCGCCATGAGTCGGAATTGACTCAATGGCAACGGTTTGGTTTTTATAGCTTATTGAGCATCCAACAACCCTTTGAGGTAGGAATCAATAACCCCATTTTACAAATGAAGAAACCAAGTCTTAAAGAAACTAAACTTGTCCAGGGTCACACAACTAGCAAGTGGCAGGACACAGTCTGCCTGTTTCCAAAGACGGTGTTGTTCACTGCTGTACTACATTAGATAATACCTACCTCACAGAGTAGTTAGAAGGTTTAAACGAGATCGTGTGTATAAATGCATTCACGTGAACACCAAAACCAAACCCGTTGCCGTCGACTCATAGTGACGCTATAGGACAGAGTAGTACCGCCCCATAGGGTTTCCAAGGCTGTAAATCTTTTGGGAAGCAGACTGCCACATCTTTCTCCCGCTGGTGGATTCAAACCACTCAACCACTGACCTTTTGGTTAGCAGCCTAAGCTCTTAACCACTATGCCACCAAGGCCTCGAATGGCACGTAGTAGGTATTAAGCAATGATAGTTCCCCCATAATTGGTCATCACTCTTGGAACTCCAGACACTTCCCCTTGTTCTCCCCGGCCCCAAGCCACGCAAAGGGCAGGAGTCATGAGCAGTGATAGTTACAGGGGAGACCTTTAGGGGTGGGGCTTCTGTCCCCCCACCCCCGTCCATTAATCTCCATCTGATATCCAAAACAGTTGTTTTCTTAACCTTATGTAAGGTACTATGCAGATATATTTTCAAGACCACCCTCCCCCACAACCAACTGCCATCTTCTAGCCCCCCCACCTCCCAACATAAAAATTCTGGAGATTGACCTTTCTCTAGCCCAGAGGGAGGCAAAGGCCATCCTTGGTACCACTTAATCTGAACAAAAGTAAAAAATGTTTCCTTGCCCTGCAAGAGGCATCAACTTTCCCACGTTGGGTGTATTGGTACAATCCTTCTAACAGAAATAAAAATACTGCTCCCTCATGCTTGTGTTTTTCAAAGAATTTTACATCTCTCATGCTTGCTCTCTGGCCCCCATGGCAAGTCATATGTACCTCACTACACTTTTTACATGGCATTGTGATGACAAACTTCCTGGAAGAAACAAAAAATCGAAACTGAGACCTGAAGGACCACCAGGGAAACAGGGTGGCCATGTTCCAGGCAGAAGGAACTGCATATGTCAGGACCCCTGAAAGGAGGGAGCTTGGCGATTTCAAGGAAAGGAAAATAACCCAGAAATATTATCAAGGGAGTATGGGAGTTGGACTGGTGAAGGTTGAGACTAGAGCCACACTAAACTTTGAAAGACTGCAAGAAATTTAGGCTTTCTCCTGGGGACAACTGGAAAACATTTAGCAAGGGAGTAACATGTACATATCCAGAGTTACAGCCTGCCTCCTTCCCCATGCCTTTTTAATTAGTGAAATTAATCTCTTTCCAAGGACCCAGATTTACTCTCATTTTCATATACCCATTAGAAAACTCTCCAAGAACAAAGTTGTTAAGGTAGGAAGGGACTGAAGTGCCATTTCAACAGTCTCTTCCCACCCCCATCTCTGGCTCTAGGCAGGACCTCGCCCAGAATAGCTGAGATTTCTATTTTCTGTGTGTTCCTTCGGAGTCGTCTTCCAAACTCTGTCGTGGGTGTGACCTCCTCCTCTCCCCAGACCAACACTGTTACTATCTCCTGGGTTATCTGCGCAGCGGGGTTTTGGATGGCAAGAGGCAAGGTTAGAAGTGGGAGGAAGTAAGACTTTGTTGGCTGTATATAAGAATTTGCCAGTCTTTAGGGAAGGCGCCTCCAAATCAATAGCGGATGAATTAGAGCGGGAGTCTTTGGCTGGGGGAGGAAGGCGTGGGGGCATTAGCTGTGTATGCATGTACCCAAATTTAGGATCGCGCTTCAGCGCCGACCGGTGATGCCTGGTTTCCCGGAAGAAGTATCCGTAACCCTCTCTCCAAGAGATCTCAGAATTTTTTTTTGGAGAGTAGCAAAACAAAATAGGAGTTACCTTCCCTTCCACTCTTCTCCGCTAGCGCTTCATCCCTACTGTAAACGAAAAAGCAGTTGTCAAATCATTTCCTTCTTTGCTTAATTGCCCTTTGCCCTTAATTGCCCTTCCCAAATGCTGGAGAAGAGAGGTCAGGTCTGGAAGGAATCCTGGCCCTGGAGATTACACATCTGCCTTCGCAGCAGCAGACCAGAAACCCGCAGGTTAGTGTGTCCCATGGCCTAGAACAGCAGCCGGTGCAGCCTCTGCGCCAGTTGTCCACGTGCCGGCAACAGCGGCCACGTGGGTCCCTGCGGAAACGCTCCGATAAGGTTTGTCCCCTGCGCAGCCCAGTAGAGAAACTGCCCAAGGAAGAGCGCAGAAGGAAACCGTACCGGCAAGAGGTCCAACTCGCGCGAGCCTGGGACTGCCCGGGGCGGGGCAGTGGGCGGGCCCTGGGCGCAGGCGATCGGTGGGGTGGGCGGGGCCCGGGGCTGGGGAGGGCGGGGCCCGGGGCTCCGGAGGGTGGGGCCTGGGGCTCCGGAGGGTGGGCCTGGAGAGCATCCGGTAGCTTTTTTATTGTCACCCGGCCGTCTTGTCTTCCGCCGTAGAGCCAGCCCCAGTTCGGCCTGCCCTGGTCGCCATGGAGTCGGCGCAGGGTGCGGGCATCGCAGTGGCCGAAGCGCTGCAAAATCAGATGCCCGGGCTGGAGAAATTGTGGCTCTGGGTCACCTTTCTGGGCGATCCCAAGTGCCTTTTCCTGTTCTACTTTCCTGCGGCCTACTACACCTCTCGCCGCGTGGGCGTCGCGGTGCTCTGGATAAGCCTCATCACTGAATGGCTCAACCTGGTCTTCAAGTGGTGAGACAGCGAAGCCCTCTGGCGGCCTGGTCCCCCATCCCTGGGGGCCCTACCTCCTGTGCAAGCCCTGACCTCTCTCAGCAGGTGTCTCAAAGGCCTGGACCTCCCCCCGACAGTGAACCCAAGCCCTTAACATTTCCACCCCTACCGCTTGGCCTCGACTTTTCCCCTTTGAGCATCTTCGCGCATCTTGGACTCAGACCTCAGTGTCCACCCAGCCCGCTCCTTAGAGCAGTGTTCCTGAACAGAGATATCACTTAAGGGGTGTGTTAAAAATGCAAATACCCCATTCCCACCTCAGACTTAACTGATTTAGAAACTCCAGGGGAGAGGCTAGGGATCTGTATTTTAACAAGCATCTATGGTGATTTTTAAGTAGCAGAAAGTCCTGCTCTCAACTCACTTTTTCATTCATCTACTCATTCATTTGTTTGACGTAATTTTAAGAAGCATACCTTGTGCCAGGCATTGCACAAGCTGCTGAAGACAGAAAAGGCTGGAAGCCTTGCAAATCAAAACATAGGCAGCGCTTGAGAGCTTGCTTGAACTGCAGAATCTCAGGCCCCGCCCAGACCTACTGAATCAGAATCTGCATTTTAACAAAGTCCCCAGATGATTCCAGTGCACAGTAAAGTTTGAGAAGCATTGCCTTCCAGGGCACACTTTCTCTTTTTCCTTTTTCTCTTCATTCACTAGTAGACTATTCATGCTGAGACTTAGAAGCCAGGAATCCCACGCAAGTGGGTGGAGGCCCTGCAGCCCTTGGGGCTTATCTTTTTGTGCCACCTGTTCTCTCTTGGGCGCACAAGGGAGCAATGCCTCCTGTTGAGCATGCAGCCACCACCTTGCCTCACCTCAGCCTCTGTTTCCTCTGAGGGAGGGAAGGGAGGTCCATAGGAGACACTTAAATGGACTGGAATGACTTGCTGAAAAAACAAAATAGGAGTTATCTTCCCTTCTACTCTCCTCTAGTGCTTCATCCCTGCTGTAAATGGAAAAGCAATTGTTAAATCATTTCCTTCTTGCTTAATTGCCCTTTGCTTTGTTTTCACTCTTCCCTCAGAGTCTGTATAGGCCTCCCTCTCTTGTCCTGTTCCCCCAAGGGTTGGGCCTCCCACCTCCATCCCTTGGTGAAGCTCTAATGCCCCCACATGACAAAGTAGGGGCTAAGTAGGTACTGAACACCTGATGTGTGAAATTAGGTTGTTTTTGCTGGAGAGTCAGGTCCCTTCTGTACCTCCCTCCCCAGCATGTGGCTTCCTGCAGGTGTCTCTTCTGCACTCCCACCTTTTCTTCTTCTGGCCACAGCAGCCTTCAATGTGTGGTTGCCCAGGGCCTAGCCAAGCAGCCACCCCTGCTAAGCCAAGGAACTTTAAACTTTTTGTCCTCCTTACTCTTTTTCAGCCACCTTGTCCATTCACCACTCCCGTTTTCAAACATGAGACATTCACCTAAGTAATTCAGGTTTGGGTGATTCAAGATGAAATTTGGGAAATGGAGAGAGGGGATATGGCACCAAGAAAAACAGAAGCAGGAGGGTCAGTGAAAGTCTGGAAGGGTTGGGTAGGGGGGAAGAGCCATGTTCTGGG